CCCTTTCCGCTAATCGCATCTGTAAGTCTACATGACGACTGCATCGAGAGAGGGGGAGAGAAATAAAGTAGAGACAAAACGATGAGAGAGAATGTGATACGAGAAAGTGATGAGATAAAGTGATGAGATAAAGTGATGTGATAAGGTAATTAAAAATCTTCTTGGTTCTTTCGGTAAAGTCACGTAGAAGGGAAGTAATAAAATAATAAAAATAAAACATAATAAAATAATTCTCACGACGTTTCGGCCACAACGCAAGCAGCCGTCCTGAGGACATTGTGGCCGAAACGTCGTGAGAATTATTTTATTATGTTTTATTTTTATTCTTTTATTACTTCCCTTCTACGTGACTTTACCGAAAGAACCAAGAAGATGAATCCCTGCAGTCACGAAAGCTTTAAATCGTAATTAGAGATATTATTATGATAATTTTAATGTATCTAAAATATATTTGTATGTATTTATTTAAGGCCAATATTATTATCCGCAAAATGTGCTATTCACAAGCATCGCCGGAACGTATCCCTCGCGAATAATGAGGGAATCATGTACACACCCCAGTGATAAAGCGTTGCTGCTTTCGTGCTTGGGGATACATGGGGTGGCCCCCTGTCTTTTGTCTTCACCTGCGTGCATTTTTAGTTTTGCAGGTGGAAGTTAAATCGTTGAATTAATTAAAGTTCAAGCTATAATAGTGCACGTGAAGAGTGCTCCATGAGGGGTTGCTGCATAAAAAAGATAAATATAATGATGTAAAGTCAGTGTCTCTTTGAAGAGTAACTCTCCCCTTTTAACTACTAATCACGTGGCCGAATTCAGTACAGGGTCAAGTGTCATTCATAACAAATTTAACATCACCCACAGATCTGTCCGCAATACTACGAAAAGAATCTTCCGGAAATAACACACTTGTAAATTAAGTAACCTCCCAAGTTAGAATATTTGTTACTGTAAGACCGGGGCGTATATAACTGGACACCCAGCGCAAGCAATATACACATCAGACGCGCATTGAATTACGCCGAGTGTCTACTCTGTTAACACAGCGTCAATCTTATCTCTGTTCAAAGGCAACCGTCACGCGCCCCGGCGCAAGCCGTGCACGAGCTTCCAAAGCCAGCACTTCCCACCACCATCCCGCAGCCCGTGAACTTGAGAACACTTTTTCGGGGGAGCAAGCAGGTGCCTGAAAGGGTTAAAATCCTGCGCCGAGTCGCCTAATGATGCCCGATTAGTCGTGGAAACATCAAACAAACGGCTCTGGGCTCCTATAGCTCAGCTCCTCCGATCGCGCCTTTTGCTGCCGAGCTTTCAAACACTTTCTGCGAGCACGTTTGAAGTTGTAACAGGCTTACAGCCGGCAGTGTACATGCACGCCATGCATAATTCATGGCTCAATCGAAAGCGCGTCAGGACCGCTTCTGTTTATACAAATCAGTCACACGCTGCGCATATGAATATCTAATCCTCCAGTTCCTTCTTTTTAACTGCATGGCCACTGATCTAATAATGCTCAGATAGAGATCTGTGCAGCTGGCTAGGGGTTTTTTTTCCCCATTGCCACAGCTTTTGTAGTAAAAATGGGCCATATCATATTACGATCGGCAGAATGAAACAAATTGTGATGAGATAAACATTTTACAGGCATGCAGGAAGTGGTGAAAATGGAAGAAAGCACCTGGAAAAAATTAATCTTCTGATAAAAAAAAAATTAGCTTTTATATTTCAAAACGAATCTTTAGGCACGTAACTTTTATTTTTCATGATTCGCTTCAGAGTAAAAGATAGGCTTTAAAAATACTGGTTTCCAGCAGATGTGAAAAACAGACACTGCAGAGCTATATGTGAAATGTAAGTGCTCATGCATTATGGGTTGCAATGTCTTCTTACCATTCAGTCTATTCAACACCTTGAAACAGCAATCGTGCTGTGACGGTTCCAACTGAAGACGGAAGCTTGTGTTGTCTCTGAAACGTCGTGATTTTTATTTTACTTTTATTTTAATTTTTATCTACGTGACTTTACCGAAAAAAACCTAAGAATATGAATCCTTGCAGTCACGAAAGCTTCAAATCTAAAACTATTCAACATCGTTTCTATACCCTTTGCAAGAAGGTACCACAGCTTGGCCAACCTTAATTTCCCAACATTATTTCATGGAACGCGAGGAAGCTAATATTTTATTGGAACGTTTGTTACATTTTGTCGTCACCTGCATTTCTTTGTCGTAAAATAAAACTGATATTCCAACAAAGAAACGCACACCATCACGAAGCTAGATATTTTTGAAGCTCCCAATGTCTTCCCAACTTTACCCCGCAGCTTATCATTTCACTCGGGCCTTGCCAGCATTTAAAATATCTTGTCAGACAGTTGCAGCGCTGCTTAACGTATCATCGTTATAAAGTTTGTTTGGCGATCTTTGACTCTGTTAGAGCCATTCTCCAAATTAACCATGCGGCTTCTGCTCAGCAGTCAGATTTCCGCTCCGCGTGATTCTGTTTGCGATAATGTGGTGTGTCTGTGAATCAAATGTTCCCTTCAAGCCCTTGCTGAAGGCTGTTCTCATGCCCAAGTATCACATACCCGTACATATATAAAACCTTCACAATAATCAGCATGGCATCTCTAATACCATGACAAGGCCATACTTAATAAGAAACCAGCAGGCCACTAATACAAAACACCACTGAAGCAATTGTTTTAATCTGCGCATGCCAAATAATGAGCCATCCAGACTGCATTTCCCACACAGGATTGAGGCAAATAAATTGATGTGTTTGTCGTGTTGCATTGCATAATGACAACCAAAACCACATTGCCATTTACGTTGTCTTGGTGTTTATCAGTGAATGCTAAATCGATTTTTTTCACACTTTATTAATTAGGGGTGTTTGGGATGGGATATGAATGACTAGTGATGGATCCTTCTTCTCTGCCGCTTGACTTTAAAAGCCCTGGGGTTTTGTCCATGGTGCAAAAATGTTGCAGTCTTGCTGCTGGTGCTTAACGCTGTGGGATGATGCCGGCGACGGAGCAAAAAGCACTTCTCATGGTATCCTCCAACCATGCGGTTGTGGGTGTCAGTGCATCGTGAGAACCCTCCTAAATCCGAATCGTTTGTTAATGTAATTTGCCTCAATGCTTCCAATAGGAGGCCAAAAAGTTGATACTGAATGTTGCTGATGGTGCTCCGGTTATTAATTCGTTCTCAGCTAAAGATTTGGCACCTACGATTAGCACGTTTGGCTACTTATGATGCGAAAGAAGTTCAACATGCATAGATAAAACTGCAGCAGTTTTTTCTTGCTGTGGTTGTCCCACCTGATGACGATTGCTTGTGTTGCGATCGAAACGTCGTGATCTATTATGTTTATACCTACGTGACTTGACCGAAAGAACCAAAGAGTATGGATTGCTGCAGTCACGAAAGCTTCAAATCAAGATACCACTCTTACAATTTTTGCATTTCGTTTATCATATCCTATAAAGTTAGCCAGTCGACCAGCAGGTCATTCGTAGTGGGGTAATAAAGTGCGGTTACTTCCAGTTCTTTCAAGACATCTGGCTGGTGTGGAAGAGTAGGCCAAACAACCTGTAGAGAAGATCTTTAGAGCTCCCTATAGTGGAGGTCCCATCTTCAGCAGTGGCATGAGAAAGCAAAGCTTGGGTGTCACCGTTACTCTTACATACAGATTGGGCCTGCCATTGCTTGGAAATCAGCATAGAGATCAAATGAATCAAAACTCCCTCCAAGCAATGGGGACATCGTGTAACATAGCAAGGTGGGCCACTGCCATTACTGCATGTAAATCAATGCCGAGGGGCCTGTCAGCTCTATATCTGAGAGCGGGATGTCACGACTGCGGTGGTTATCCATTTATAAAAATAGAGAAATCCGCCCCAAAGCAAAATCACCATTTTATTTACAAGTTGTAAGAGGTTCACGAGGGACGACACATCCTATCTCGTTCTCTTATATCTTCTGTGTATATTGCCGGCTGTGAAAAATCTCAAAGGCTGCGGAACTGCAATTTTGCATTTTTATATTTTACAACTTGAATACGACATGGTACGTGCAATGTCGTATTTATGGGATCATGGAGGTTACATTTTACCAAACTGCATCACGCTGGTGAGTACTGATTGAAGGTGAGAAGCATATGCATGGGGCGGTGGGGGGGGGGGCACAGAAGTATAATACAATAGATTTTGCTGCACTGTTCACTGCTAGCCCACACTTCCGATTAGCGCGCTTGACTATGTACGGTGTGAGAGACGTTCAACATACATAACCCTGACATATGGCATACATTACATGGCATTGTGACTGAAAATGACTTACAATTATGGACACGAGTAAAACAGACATGCCTCATGCAATTCCATAGCTAGAGTACAACCACTTAGAGGTAGGTGTAGGAAGAGGATAAACTCCTGTACAAGAATAATGAAACTTGGGCTGTCGCTGGTGTAATGAGACCGAAGAAGACGACTGATATAAAAGTCCAGGAGTGTTATATCTGTTAGAATTGTGAATATATTATCATTGCGCTTAGTGACAAAAGCAGAACTCTGATGGCACACCAACGCATGAAATTCAAGCTGGATAAAAGCACACCCATTGGGAGCAAGTGCATGTGTTCTTAAATCCAGTGTGCTCGTAATAGAAGTTGCCATTGTGTGCCCTCCCCACCAGTTCAATCAGAATCATTATTTATCGTGGAGAAATCCGATGAGCTATGAAGCTCATCATCATCATCACATCAGAAACGCAAGGGTTACGAAAGGCCCATCGCGCACACCAGTGTCCCCATTTACACCAGAACTTTGCTTAAATAACGTGTGCCCCTGCTTCTCTTCACCTACCTTCTCCTGCGCCTGCTCCATCTGCTTGCCGCGGGCCCTCTGCGCACACCATTGTCCCCATCGCGCACACCAGTGTCCCCATTTACACCAGAACTTTGCTTAAAGAACGTGTGCCCCTGCTTCTCAACTACCTTCTCCTGCGCCTGCTCCATCTGCTTGCCGTGGGCCCTCTGCATCTCCACGCGGGCGTTCTCCAGCTGGAGCCGGAACTTGGCCTGTGCAGCCTCCAGATCGCGTGAGGCCCTCTGCCTCTCCGCCTCCTGCTGCACAGCAGCATTTGACAATCTCCTCTCCAGTTCGGACACCGTCTGTGTGGAAAGAGCATCCGGTTTAGACTCCGCGAGTTCCAGTGGGAAAGTCCACGGGCTTCAGGTTCAGGAGGCAACAAAGTGTGGGTGAACTATTTCGATGTAAAGCTTTCGTGACTGCAGGGATTCATCTTCTTGGTTCTTTCGGATAAAGTCACGTAGAAGGGAAATGATAAAATAATAGAAATTAAAACACAATAAAATAATTCTCACGACGTTTCGGCCACAACGCCAGCATCCGTTCTCAGGTGAAGAACAGGTCTGTCGGGAACTTCAGACGCTGTCTTCTCGACAGACCTGTTCTTCACCTGAGGACAGCTGCTTGCGTTGTGGCCGAAACGTCGTGAGAATTATTTTATTATGCTTTATTTGTATTATTTTATTATTTCCCTTCTACGTGACTTTACCGAAAGAACCAAGAAGATGTGGATGAACTAATTGATGATTGGAACACAAAGGCAACGTGTGGTGGTAGTGGTCATGATTGATGATGATGATGGTGCTGCACCAGTGTTGAGCTCCCACCAGAGTAGTTCTCCTGGGACACTGTGTGGGCTATGTGCGCCCATCTGGTGGAGAAAGTGCAGATGATGAAGCCACTGCCAGCAGATGCAAGTTTCTCAGTAGGTCTCAATGTGAGTCTATAATTATCTATGTAAGTCTGTGGGTGACTGTGTGAGTCTATAGCTATATTTGTGGATCTCTAAGTAAACCTATGGGTCTCTATGCGAGTCTATGGGTCTCTGTAAGTGCATGGGTCTCTATGCTAGTCTTCGGGTCTCTATGTTAAGAAAGCGCTAATAATGAAGTCACTTCCAACATTTTCAAGTGTTTTAATAAACCCACCTGCACGCGTGAGTGCATGAGACTGGAAAATAGGAGGCAGGCAGGTATCTAAACCCATCCATGGCCTACCCTAGATTGACTTAACCATAAATGAGAGGTGGTATGTATGGACACCATCGTAAGGAAGACAAAGGCGGTCAGATGTGGTGCTGGGCACATCTCTTACGTGCTGTGCCGGTCCTTACAGGTGCTTACCAACAGAATTTACATTCTAGAAAGCTAAACAGCGGATATTTATTTTGTGTGTGTGTGATAAAACTCAATCGCATCTTCCGTTATGGCATTTCAGTGGTGCAGCGGTTCGCGTGCTGCGTAATGAAACCGACGATGAGAATTTGATTCCCTGCAAGTGATGTCTGAACCGGTCCTGTGCCTCCCCTTCACCAACTCGCACTGACCAGTGTGGCCAAACAAACCCTCACGACAGACAGCATGTGGAGGCCTTCATGGAACTGTGGACTGACGAAAAGACTGCATATGCAGGAAAGGCACGGACCCACGCAAACATGAATTTGGCAAGATCGCCTTGTAAATGAGACACATCAATGTCTGTGAATTTGCATAATTATGTTATAATGCATGCAAATCGTGAATAAATTTTTATATCAATTCAGCCCGTTTTTACCATAGTAGAATTTTAATAGTTTAACATACACCACTATCAAAATGTAGCAAAAAAAAGATTGTGCCACACAACCTGCAGTCCACCCAGACATACAGTACAGTACTGGATGGAAGTGACCACAAGTGAATCGCTTAAAAATGTGTCTATAACCTTTGCAATCTTCCCAATGTGTATTTCATAATGTTTCCACATAAAGCAGAGGTGAGATACTTTTTTTTCCCGAGGGCCGAATAAGACTTACAAATACTTTTTGGCGGCCACACATGAACACACACACACGGCCTGTTGGCTATATCCCTACAGTCACGAAAAGTTCAAATCTAGACACACACACACTTCTTTCATTTCTGTCACTGTAAGCAAACCCTTACAGTGACAGAATTGTTGCCAGGTAAAAAAAATATTTCCTTTCTATTACCTGATAAGTGCATGGGTTGGACCAACCCATGAGCTGTCTCGGGTGTGGACCAATCAACTTCAAGGACAGTGCATATATTATCAGAGTTATGGTTTTTGTTTGCATTATGGCTGCAGGTATTGTGGTCTATGCAAACATGACTTCTTGTAAAAAGGTGTCAGTTTTGTTGCCAGATAGAAGGGTAAAACACCAATTATCAAGTTGAAATTAAAATGAATTATCGGAAGGACGCTTTGCAATGACAGATGAATATCGCTTGTGGGCCGTTTCAAAGTGGTAGGTGTTCCGTGTGCCCATGGGCCAAACGAAAATAAAGTCATGGGCCTGGTACGGCCCGTTGGCTATAGGTTCCCTACCCCTGACGTAACGTGCATGCAAATCGTATGCAAGGTACCGAGTAAAACCAGCAATGAGTGAACGAGGTCTTTCAGGTTATTATTGGCTTTGTAAATCTGTAGAGTAAGTCGCTGCCCCGTTGCTGGAACAAAACTAATTTGAGGCATATATTTCAGATCGGTATATTTTAAACAATATGCGCTCTAAACTGACATTCCAAAACGATGACGTTTTTGTCTATTATCCAGCTGGGAGAAGGACAACATGATGTCTCATGCCCCCATCCATGGGTGGAGTTTTTCTGGTGGGCATGGGAGGAGCAAGGCCCCCCAGAAAACTGGACACCTTTATTATATGCACCTGCTATTCCTAATGAGAGGTACAAAGCGAAACCCTGTCGCCCCCACCCCAAAGATAGAAGTCAAACTCCGCCTATGCCACTATGACATAGTGAACGAGTAGAGCCACCACAAAGGCCAAATTACCTGGAGGTGCTATAACTTTCCCAGCCGACAGGAGCAGACCCCCCCCCCAACCCCAAAAAAAATTAACCCGTAAAAACAAAGTTTTTCACTATAAATCCTTTATATGCGTGGCGGCTAGAGTCCTCTCGTCCTCTGGCTTGAGATGGCTGCCACCTATGGGTCAGATGATTGCCTGCCACCATTAAGCAATTGGTAATTAAATATAATTTATTTTTTCCTAAAAAGTGTAAAATTTTTGAAAACATTTTTCACGAAAATAAATTGTCACGCACAACGAGTCTGTGTGCAAAATGTCAGCTCGATTGGATCACGGGAAGTGGGTTAAAAAACGACCGAAAGATTTGCACGGTCGTAAGCGCGCAAGCAAGCAAGTGAACTTAATATGAAGGATTTAAAAAATGTATTTGCAGGGAAAAGCGTAAAGAGCCACCACGTTCAGATTGCTCAACCAAATGTGTCAGTGTAAGACTTCCAGACGTCCAAGCCAGGTGTGGCCGAATCGATTTAACGCTAATTACCCTGTAAAACAACACCAATCACTTCAGTTAACTGCATCAACCACACCTGACGCGTGTGAAACTGAGAAACCCAGCATGGCGCTCTTTGACCAAAAAGCTTGGACCTTAACATTTGCGCAAAAGGCACGAAATTCGAGAAATCGCAGGCGTCGGCTTAATGCGGTGAAATATTAAGGGCACTACACTGTAAATGCATACCAATGACATCATCATCATCGCCATCATCAAAACAAGTGTGGTTGGTTGTATCTGTTGGTTATTAGTGTCTTCTTAGAACCTATGTATATTATTAGACCATACACAGCCGCCAAACATCAAATGTTTGATACTGGTCCAACTATGATTATTTATTCATCTTTCAGGTTTTTTTGTTCAAAGTCGTGTGATCATTCTGTTGGTAACAACTTCTGGTTGTCACGCGCATATGCATAGACACACTGCAGATTTAGTTTGACTGACTGCCGGCGCCAAGTTTAAAATAAACTACGAAGGTCCAGACAACATTGAGATGGGCAGTAGAGGTGTAACGAAACAACAACGCATTGATAAACATGAAATAGTATGCGCACAATGCATTAATCGAATTGCATGTGTACAAACATCGATCTTTATCAATTCGTATATGCTGCACTAGCTTTACTACCCGGCTTCACCCGGGACTTGGATTCACCACGCACGGCCGCCTTTGTCTCCCCATTGGCGATGTTCACACACCACACCAGTTACTCGTTTGAGGCTGAGTCGACCTAGGCGAGGCCCAGAACTGGTTATCGCACTCGGGTTGCCGGGTTCGTAGCGTGGCGCGCTAACCACAACACTACATTGCGTTACGCTTCCACGTGCGCGGGTCACATGACAGATTTGACGTCACAGCTCACTTGCTGTGCAACAAATATATGCATTATTTTTATAATTTTTGCATGGTGTACAGTCTGGAAAGTACCCACATGGCAAATTTCAAGTTTGTTGCATGTCGGGAAGTACGCTCAACATTTTGAACAGACAAACATATTCACAACTTTTCCTTTTATATATATATGGAGATGTAAGGCTTCACATGACCCTTCAGACATGAGTGGCCACTGCATGTACAGCAATGTTAAAAAAGGGTATATAGTTTTCGATTTAAAGCTTTCGTGACTGCAGGGATTTATCTTCTTGGTTCTTTCGGTAAAGTCACGTAGAAGGAAAGTAATAAAATAATAAAAATAAAACATAATAAAACAATTCTCACGACGTTTCGGCCACAACGCAAGCAGCCGTCCTCAGGTGAAGACCAGGTCTGTCGGGGAGACAGCGTCTGAAGATGAATCTCTGCAGTCTGAACATTCAGACGCTGTCTCCCCGACAGACCTGGTCTTCACCTGAGGACGGCTGCTTGCGTTGTGACCGAAACATCGTGAGAATTATTTTATTGTTTTATTTTTATTATTTTATTACTTCCCTTCTACGTGACTTTACCGAAAGTCTTAAACTGAATCACGACTCTGAATCATGACAATTCATTGAATCACCTCTGGTTGCTAGTGCCAGGCCAATCCTCCATAACACCGACGATGATACAGACCCCACAAGGTTCTCGTGTAAGAAGAGTTGACTTAGGGGACGAATCAAGTTCAGGTATTAGCTGCCACAAGGTCTGCTCAAGGCCAACTCTTTTATCTAAGTGGCTAGGATCAGTGTTAAGTGTGCTAACCATTTTAAATCCAATCCTCATTAACACAAATATCCGTCGTATGGCCTCTTCATGCTGCTGTGGCAAGTGCTGTTAG